GTGTGCGTGTGTGTGTGTGTGTGTGTGTGTGTGTGCTCGGTCAGCTGTTGACACCGGGGTTAAATGAGAGAGTCCAGTTTCACAAAGATAATCTGTGGGTTTGAGCTCACTGACCCCGTGTCGGTTTCCAGTAAAAGCTGGACTCGCTTTTCTTCCAGTAGCTGTGTGCGGCGTGTGCGGCTGAGCCTGGGTGTGACACACTGGCCTTGCCCGCCCCGGCCTTTCCTCGGATCTGCTTTCCCCACATCGCTGCTTCTCTGTGTTTAATGGGGTTTTTTTTTGGTGAGCTGTGTGGAAACACGGCCGTGCTGAGTTGACATGTCTTGGTTCCACTCCTGAAGTACTGAGTTTGTGTTATTGGGTTTCTCTTTTCCCCCATGTGGTAAAGTCATCCCTGTTTTTTCCGTTCATCTGCCCCTGTCTGAATTCACTTGTGACTGTTGTTTCTGACCGGCTCTGCTAGTGCAGTTTGAGCCTCTGAGTCTCCTCCTCTCAGTCCATGTGGGCAGGCAGTCTGCCTACTTCGCATTTCACTTTGACTCATCTCAGCCGGTGCCCTGCCCTCCTGTTAGGCCTGCCTACCCCTCCCGGGAGGCCTGCCTGCTCTTCTAGAACTCTCCATTCTGCCGTGAATCACATTGATTTGCAAATATGCTGTGCAGTAAAGACTGCGACTGGAATGCAGAACATTTGGTACCGAGAAGCCATCATTGTCACAAAGATGTTTTCTCTTATATCTGGTTAATTTTTATTACAGTCCCCAGGTTACGAATGAGATCTGTTCCCTAAGTCTAAGTCAAATTTGTAGCTAAGTTGGAAAAATTACAATACAGTACATAATCATTATTATAATTTTACAGTAATAAAAGTAACTATATACGGTAATGTACTACACCTTAAGATGACAAACCACTGAAGACGCACGTTTTCACGAGTGTCACAAAGTAGTGCGTGCGTGTGTTATTACGGACCATTGTGTTAACCCACATTTTATATATATATAATTGGCTTTATTGCACCCCGCAAATATGAGTTGTCCATAAGTCGGAGATTATTAGCCCAGGGATTCTCTGTACATTGCAAAAGAGGTACTTAAAACATCTGTCATCTGCAACAGACAATATAAAACTCAATGTAAGAAGGAACCAGGGACAAGACAATGGAAAGACACCAGAATCCCCCATTCATCGACTGTCATAGTAAGAAAACAATCTTTCATCCTCTATGTACCCGTCTGTTCACCTGATACTATTTCTTTAAATCACGCTATCAGAGAGGAGTTCCCACCATGAAAACTCTTTTGTCCCCCCCCCCCCCCCGGTTTGTTCTATCCAGCCACAGCATAATACTGCAAATGTAACCTGATCAGAGCCCTTTGGCTGCTTGTATCCGTTCGTTTGTATGGAAGCTGATTTTGTTTGTGTGTGTGTGTGTGTTGTTTGGCAAAATATCAATTGCATAAAGAAACCTTTATATGCTTCATTTTGTGCCACAGTTTACTTCTATAGATCTTTTTATCCCTTTCTTAAAAAAAATGACCTCAACAAGCCAGTGAGGCCCGGTTAAGGGGAAAACTGGGATCAGCTGGGAAAATGATTCCTTTAACTTTAGGGTTTCCAGCAGCCCGCGGAGCGCTGAGGGTCGAGCTGCCTTCCATCCCGTACGGAGTCACCCCATATTATTGCCCCTGGGCTCCCTTTCATTGTAGCCCTGCCACATCGCTATTGCAGCATTGTGTTAGCGTAGCATAGTAAGGCTAGCCTCCCGCCCAACTCCCGTGAGCCTTTCATGATGATCCCCCTGGAAGCTAAATGCCGGGCGCCAGCTGTCATCAGCAGCCCATCGCAGCTATGCTATCAGATCTCTGATCCAGCAGCACGCTTTAAGATTGATGCGATGGCCGGCGGCCCCGTGGGGATATGACTTTTGCTTTTGTTTTCAGCTTCCCAGTAAAGCTCTCCTGTAAACAGGGAGATGAACGGCCTTTGCGGCTCTGTGAGAATCCTGTATGGGCGACAGGTTGTTCTCACAGCAGCTGGCGCTGGTGCTCAGACACAAAATGGAAAAAAAAAAAGACAAGCAAAGGGATGCAATATTTGGCAAAAACCCAGTAAATGTGCATTAATGTTGTGCCTGAAGTGGAAATATGGGTAGTCCATCCTTCTGCTTTGGGTTTTAAGAATAGCCTATGGATGTTTTCTTGGATGCATGTGTGTGAGAGGTGTGTGGTCTGGAGTAGCAATCAGATCAGTTAAAACCAGCAATTGTAACTAAGGTGTATCTCTGTGTATGAGTGATGAAGTTCAGAGGGGAGAGGCCCAGACAGCAGGCTGTGGGAAGGTGCATTATCTGCCCCAACCAAAGTGGAATCCATCCGAATTGCTGTGAGTTTGTATTTGTGCTTGAGTTTGCGACGTTTATCTATTTTCCGTCCACCCAATCCCGCAGCTGTGATCGCCTGAGCGCCAAACAACAGTCGTCCTCTTCGCACCAGCTTTTGTCCTTTCTTCCTCCAGCACAAAGGCACCATGACGTGTTGTAGCCGAGACAGACATCATCTTTGTCTGCAGTAGGATTGGATCCCAGGCCTGTACTGCTTCCCACGTGCACACACACACGCATGCACACACGCACGCACAAGGTCCACTCTCGCTAGCATTGATATGTAGCATTGAAGCTCAAGCAGACCATTACATGTGATTGTCGATGCCGTTCAACTATCTGCCTTGTTCATTGTCAAATTTAATCAATTTTAGTTACGGCCTTAATTAGTTGATGGGCCGATCCACATTTTTTAGTTCCGATCTTTAATGTTTTGCTATAATAAATATATTTTAGATTTTTTACTTGATATATTAACATTTTTAAACTAGTAAATACAGATTTAGCCAAATAATCTTTAATTAGGCCACCAGAAACACAGAACGTACTGTTTCACCAAGTTATTGGTTTTTTTTTTGTGTTTTTTTTTTTTTTTAAGAAAAAGGCATTTGCAGTACAAACTGAATATCTTCCAAGCGAGGACACACAAGTGGCGAATGCTTAAAATGTCCCCCAATGTCTCTCCCACTTGCAACAGCGTCACACTTCACTGCGATAGCAGCCCCTCATGTATCTCAAGTTGTAGCGAGTGCGCAAAACAGCCCAAGCTAGCGACTCCCAAATCATCCATTGCTTTTTTTCAAATTAGTCGGGTTGTTTCGCAGTTTCACTGGCTTTGTTTAGTGGGATTCTCCAATGAATGCTACTCCCGCTTCTCAAAACTTTGTTTTTGCAAATCTCTGTGCTACTAGTTGCTGTTAATAGCATAAAATACCCCCAGAACGTCACCGCCTTACGTGCTGTTTTCACGCTTCTCCAAAGGATATGCGCATGATGTCATAGCAGGTTACACCGCGCTCACACCGACTGAGTGGCAAAAAACTTAGTGGCAGGATTAGCGTTTAGCTTGAATGCTGCAAAAACACATCTAAAATGGAAAAGAGATGTTGTGCGATTGATTGTGCAATTTAACACGAAATCGGAGCTGTCATTTTAGAGACTGCCAAAAACTAAATTGTCAGACGTGGATCAGTCATGCATGACCGATACGCGATTCGTCTAATAGATGTGGATCGCCGCCGATACAGACTCAGATATCGGATCGGTTCATCTCTCTAATTACTCTGAACATCAAATGTCTTCTCAAAGGTACAGAAGATCGCAAACATTTGTAACTGCTGCAGTCTAGTTTTATTATTGCATTTTCAGTTATTTCTTTAAGGTAGTCTTCAGATTGTTCCAAATATAAATTCTAGCATCCAAAGAGTGAAAGAAGGCTATTCATATTTCATTGCAATGTCCATATGGTCCTGAAAGTTATACACTGTCCCTCCCCAGCGCAGCGTTCGATTCATAACCCTTCCTTATACGTTACACATTTTTAGTTTTCTGTAGAATCTGGCTTTATTCTTAAGACTTTAATTCTCAAATCTGGGAACCCAACCTGGACCTATTCTGAACTTTGTTTCCTGAAAGTGTGGAAAAACCACGTATTTCCTTTAGAAGGAAATTTGCTGCTCTGGTTATTTATCCCCCCTTATTTGGATGAATGGTTCGTTCCACTTGAATCAGCCACAGGTGGGGTATGGGGGGGGGGGGACTGCAAGTAGACTGATGTGGCTTCTCAGACGGGAGGGGCTCAGACTTCAGACAAGCAGGAGACGTGCCAGGGTTTCACCCTGGAAATGAAGTTTAGTCCGCACTAATACGTCAGGATTTACCTGCTTTGAGGGCTTCCCCCCCCCCCAAGATTTCTCTCACTCGCAGGCACAGCATGCAACAGTAATGCCATTTCCTGAGAGGTGAAAATTACAATTAAATGAATACTCCATATGTGTTTTACCCCCTAATTTCACTGAAACATGTTTCTCCACTAGGGATTGTTTAAGAGCAGTGACATTTTGAATTTTTAATGGACTGACTAAAGTGCTACCCAGTTTTCATACTGCTTTTTTGAGGTGGGGGTGTAAACGAGAGGCATTAAACAAATGCCCTGTGAATCTAAGGACCATTTTTCTCCTTAAACCCTTCTACCATTCCCAAACTCCACAGCTCTACAGGTTGAACAATGACTCATGACTTTCTTGGTCACTGGCGAAAGCACTTCTCATTAATAAAGGGCAATGTGAAGTCTTACATACAGATGTTACATACACAACATCCGTAGCCAACAGAGCAGCAGAAACTGGCAAGTAGCTTTGTACAAATGGATGCTTTCAGTCTCTTCACTTCCTGGGTCTCTTCTCTGTGAATGTTCATGCAATTCAGAAAGTCGATATTGTGCAACGGGAAATGTTGAGCACTCAAAGTGATAAACAGAGATCTTCGGGGACGGTGTTATAGCTTCAATACCAAACTCATTACAGGGCGACCTGGGATTCTCCTGCTGTAGCCGTTGCCATTATAGGCTAATGCTTGATGCTCATATCCCCTCTGGTGTCCCGCTTGTCTCTCTTTAGCCGCTCTGCCCTCCATAATCATGAACCTGCTCTGCAAGCCATACCAGCGGGAAGTTAACTGTGAAGACGAGAGCATCAGGTACCCTTTCAAGGAGGACACCATCACTCACGGTCTGATGGCTGCCGTCACCATCAGCTGCACCGTCATCATTGTGAGTGTCCCCCC